CTGGAGATCCCAAGATCTAGGTTCAATAGGCAAACTGGCTAGATAATTCATAGTTGACACACTAAGAAACTTACAGTTTCATCCCATGTCTATGATGTTATGTGTGTGATCTGTTGATATTAAGGTCATCTTGATATCTTGATTATAAGAGGAGTAGTGGCAGAATACTCTTAATCAATATCACCTATGTGAGAGTAGAATTGGGTCGGTTCTATGAGAATTTTCCAAATGGTTTATGTTCTCTAAAGCTCTCATGAATTCAGGATCTTGTCTAGGACCAAAATGGACACAACCGTATAGAACTCTAAGATACAAGATAAGTTATGTATGATATTTGTTGTCTCAATTTATCATGAGAAGGATAGTTCCAGAGCAAGTTCTCACTATTTCTTCGGTAAATTCGATAAATATTCACTAAGGAATGTTCAAGTCCAAAAGACACCTCTCCTGATGCATAACTTATCTATTTGCTCTCAACGTCTTGGTCGTGTTTTGTCTGTCTCACTTTCTTTCATGCGGGGGATTGTTGGATTTAAAAGTGTGAAAGAAAGTGTAATTTAAAGAAACTTATTCACATATACGTTGTGAATATGTTTGTGGTTTTGTTTCTTTTAATTTTGGAGTTATTTATTTAAATGGAAAAGTTGTTTCTTTATTTTGTTAATGTGTAACTTTATACATGTTAAAGTTACCTATGTACAAAAAGGTTACATATGAGTTTAATTTTGTATAATAAGTTACATGTTTGGACAACTATATATAGTTGTGGTTTTGTTCATTTTGAGATATCCAAGCATACCACAATTGAGTATTCTCCTCCTCCCACAAGAATTCTCTCTTCTTTTGAGTTGTTCTTCTTGTTTATGTTGAGAGCAAGTATCTAAGAGTTCTGTCAGATCTGAGTAGTTCGAGGTTGCAGTTCTACTAGAGTTAGTTGTTGTATCTTGCTGAGACGATCGCTGTAGCCTGCTAGCAACTTGTGCAGAGCGAATAATTGTCTTCAGGTCAGCGCTATTGAAGCGTGCCTCGACTATTTTTATCACGTTTTGGTGTTCATCAAGTTGTTCAAATTTATATCGTTTGTAGCCAGTTACGTTATAATCTGTTTGTCAGTACTACACAGTTCATATATACAGCGTATATTTACCCAACACTTTGTATTTGAGATGAGCTTGAAAAAGAAATCATACCTTATTTGATCATGTGATGTCAAACGAGGAAGAAAAGAATGTTGATCATTAGCGAGAAGGAAAAACGACCGCCTTTAAAAAAATATCTTCTAAGTACATCTCTCGTAAGGTAGCTGTTTGTCGACCTAAGAAGCACATACACTTCATTTTTTGTAACTTGGCGGACACTTATCAGACATGTATCAAACACTTGTTAGCTTAATAGATATGTGTCAATGCTAGATTTTGGAATTAGATGTCTAAGGAACAATCTGTTCCTCTCCAAAGAACAATATTTGTGTGAAAATTAACTAAAAGAAAATAACGTTTAAAAAAACCAGTTAACAAAATATGTTTCCATTGATTCGAGAGGAATCAAAGAGTGTTTCAGACAGTGAAATGTCTTCAAGGGTTTTTGGATCTAGTCCATTTCTGGGCTTATTTGTGGTGCCATCTTTCTAAAGATTTTTGTAATTACAGTTTTGTGAATATTTCTGCCAAATGGAGCACTTCTTTGTAACGGTTGGCTTTTAGGGGTTTCTTAATCTCTTTCGTAACAGGTGTTTTGATAATGAAATTGCAAATGATTAAAAACTTTTGGTTCGTTAGTAATAACTCAACGAATAAAATTTATAATTTTTCATACAATCTTTTCCTTTCCCCCTATTTCAGGGGTAGCTCGATACGGAGTTTTAGGCAAAACTTTTATTTAAAGGCCTTAATATACAAAATATCATCTAAAATTTATTTTTATTACTTTTTGAGATGCAAAATTATGTATTAAATTTTGATAATCTAAGTTCGTTGATATATCATTTTCAATGAACAATATGACTAATCCATTTAATCTTTCTTGTGACATAATTGACCTTAAATACGATTAATTTTAATTTTGAAAAGCATGCTTTCAGTAGAAGCACTATTAATAATATTTTAGAAGCAATATATACATTTGTAAAAGCGTTTACCTTTTTATATAATTTAATATTTTGATAGGATAGTCAATTTAATTTTGCAAGACTTCTCTTAATATTTTTAATTCAAAAAATAAATATAAATAGCTAATGTAAGTAAATATATCATGTTTTAATATATTTATTTCATGCTATAAATTCATTCCATTTAAAAAATAAATAAAAATAAAATAGGTAAATATTAATAAATTATATAATATTATGAAATAATAATTCTATAAATTTTATAATATATACATTAATAAACTAATTAATAATAACTAAATATTAGTTGGTAACTACTTCCATACAAATATATAACTAAATACATTGAATAATTTTTGGGTGATTGTAGTGGGTAGTAAAAATAATTAATGTATTTCAAAAAATGTTACCAACTTTTCAAAATTTTAAATATAGTAAAATATTTGAATTTTTATTTTCGGATTTTTTATTATTCCGATTTTACCTTTATGATATCTGATGTAAATTCAATGTATATCTATATCTGATATATACATCTGATGTACCTCTGATATACTTCCGATATACATCTAATGTACTCTGATATACATTATCAGATATATGTATTATACCTCTAATATATATATCTTATGTACCTCTAATTTACGATATATTAAATATATTTACAATTGGTATATCAAACGTTTAATTTTTAGTGGTATATCAGCTGTTTAAACTATAGTTTACCATTGCAATTTGTTGTATACTAATATTATCGATAATGTTGATTACTATATCACTACTATTTATTTTATATTAATATTAATTGGATACTAAATATAAGAGATACCAACTGTTATAAATTTATAAAGTATATCAAATTTCTAACTTGTTTTTTTTTCTTTGGACGTGCATGATCTACATAAACTTTTTATACCATAACTTTATATTCCAATTTTTTTTTTTTGCACCATCATTTTCGTATGAAAAATAGTGGATATAATAGTATTATATCAACACAAATGTATCATAATTATATTAGTAGATATCATGATCATATTAGAGGTATATTAGTGGAAATTAGACGCATATTAGTAGTATATATCAGTGTTATATTAATGTTAAATCATATAATCATATATAAGAAGTTATATAAGTAGATATCATAGTTATATCAGTGATATATCATTTGTATATCGAATGGTAAATTAGAGACATATCAAATATGTATCACAAATATATAAATGTTGTATAGGCATGGTAAATCAATGGTTATCATGTGTATATTAGTGGTAAGTCATGTTAAGAATTTAGTAGATATCATAGTTATATGAGAAGTAAATCAATTGTATATCATTATTATATTAGTGGTATATCAGAGATATATATTAGCAGTCAGATATATTACAAATGTATATCAAATATATATATTGCAGGGTAAAGTTGTAATTTTAAAATTGAACCTCCGTTCTTTTGTTGAAAAAAAATGCTATATTTGAAAAAACTAGATGTGGTTACTATTTTACTTATTTTACTAAATATTTTTGACATATTTGCTACTGTCCCATAATTTTTTGAATTTCAATTTTCAATTCGGCTATCAAATATATATTTGAAAATATTGAAACATCTCTATTATTTATTGAATCCCTTCTTATTTTCAGGATTTAATTTTTGCAAGAAGTGTTATTCAATCTAAAATGAGGTCAACATAACCCTATTCTAATTGGTACCTGTCTTTCAGCCTCATCATTAGGCTGGGCCGGCCCGGCCCAGCCCAAAGAAGTAATGGCCCAAACTTGGTTCAAGCCCAAGCTCTACGGGCCTCAAGTATTGTTTGGGCCGGGCTTGGGTCGGCCCAACCACTCAAACCTAGGCTCATAGCCCAATCCATGAGCCTAAGTTGTTGAGCCAAAGTTGGATCGGGCTTGGATCGGCCCTTTGGATCGAGCTTGAATCGGCCCGTATATTAATATATTTTAATTATCAAATTTTAAAATTTAAATAATTTCCAAACTAAGTTTTTTATTTTTAAATTCTAGAATATGCGTTTTTATATAATTTTTGGTACATTTTTTTTGTTATTTTTATAATCTTACTAATAAATTTTATTATGTCATATTTTATAAATTCAAGTTGCCTTATTTTAAAAAATTATATTTTTTATTTTTAAAAATTAAATTTATATCTTTTTACAAGAGAAATTGAAAATTTAAACACTCTGAATTGGAACATGAGAGGATTTGAGATTGAGAATTAGAATTAGAATTTGAGTGAAGAAAAAGAAAAGAATGTTGATATTTATAAGAAAATTTTGTATTAAGAAATTTTAAAAATTACAACCTAATATTAGATATATTTAAAATAATTTTAAATTTTGAATTTGGGAAGTTGGAGAGTTTCCTCCTAATATGTTTCAAAACAATGATTTAAATGAGATATTGGGGAGTGGTAGAATCTCTTCGTAATATGTACTATTTAGTAGGGGGAAACAAAAGATTTATAGCCTACCATATCTAATTTATTTTTTATAATAAATAAATAATAAAAGAATATTTTAATATTATATAATATAAATATTAATAAATATTGGATTGGGCTTTTGGGCCGGCCCTACGGGCCAATCCAAATACAGCTCAAACGGGTTTGCCCACGGACCGGCCCAAATTAAAAAATGAATATCCATATCCAATCCAATTAATAAAATGGTTGGATTGGGCCGGACCGGTCAAACGTTGACCTTGGATCGAGCTTGGATCGGACTTGGGCTGGGCCTGGACCGACCTTTAGATCTCGGGCCCGATGATGAGGCTGACCTGTCTTCAATCAAAATGTCATGAGTTGGAATCGATTAAACTCCTAGCAATCCAAAAACGACAAAATTTTGTGGTAGATTGTAATTAACATGGCAGTGCGCCAAGATCTCCCGCGGACCACCGAGACGCCTATCTACCATTTTCAATGTGAAGAAGTTGGAGCTTCAGCTTCTTTGATTATCGCAACGGCTTTCCCAATGCCACGTTGAGATTCCATGGCGCATCGATTTCTAGCCTCAACTTCATGCCTCATCAACGTTCCAGCACAACCACCATGTTCGCTACTTTTCAAGATCCACCCACCAAACTTCTACATGCGCATTGCCTGCTAATTCCCGACCAGGGTGTATAAATTTTTCTGGGTAATTCTTCTCGTTCTTCGTTCTTCCTGAATTTTGATCAGAAATGGCGGCCAAGGAAGATGCTAGTTCCACCGGCATCAGGGTACAAGCGATGCAATTCGCTTATGAAAGTGATTCTCCTATTTTCGTTGAATTTAATCTTGAGATTGGCCCTGGATCTCGATGTCTTCTCGTTGGCGCCAACGGATCTGGTACTTGAATCCCGTTTATCTCGTTTGGTTTAGTGTAAGAATTTGGGGGCCAAACAAGTTCTAAACGTGAAGTATGAAATGATTTAAATTGCAGCAGCCGTATAGTTTCTTAAATTGTATGCAATTGGTAACCCATTAAAACGCTCATGAATTATCTTATACAGTGGCGTGATATGGATATGAACCTACGTATCAAATTCAAATTTGCCTGTCATTCTGGAATCCTTCTTTCGCGTTGCTGTTATTTGATTTTAGGAAGTTGGTTTTCAGACAGTGTGTAAACTTTTTTGAGATTCCATTCTGGATAATAGTTTCTTTTGCTTGTTTTTTATTGGATTTCTTACCCTGCCATTTCTTGTACTTCTGATTAACCAAATTATTCTGTTTCACGCCACGGGGGGAAGGCAGATTCCAATGTTAGAGAAACAAATGGTCCTCTCCTCATGGCGGACCTTTCAAGACATTGATACATGTTATGGTTATCCACTTCTGTGCAGGGAAAACAACTTTGCTGAAAATTTTGGCAGGCAAACATATGGTTGGAGGAAGAGACGTTGTCCGGGTTCTAAATAGTTCAGCCTTTCATGACACTCACCTTGTATGTAGTGGTGATTTGGCCTACTTGGGAGGGTCTTGGAGTAAGACCATTAGCTCTGCAGTAAGTACCTTACTTGCAAGTTGCACTTCCTGTTTAAGCTGTTAGCTGCTGGATCGCTTTTATATATTTCTGTTCTCCTTGCACGAATAGGATTATCTATGCATTTATGCCTCACAAGTATCTTCTAAATTAAATTTGGATGCAAATTCAATTGATCTGATTTGTCTCAAACAAAGCATCGAACGTCTTATGCTGAATATATCCTCGTCTTTTTTGGAAACTCAGGGAGAGGTTGCATTACAGGGAGATTTTTCTGCTGAACATATGATATTCGGAGGTGTGATACATTCGATTGCATTATATTTGCGGTGTTCGGCATTGTAACTGTGACCTTATATTATATTTCGTATCCTCATATGTGGGGAGCAGATTTTTCTTTTTCCTCCTATAGACAGGAACTTTTAGGATACTTGATAGCAACTTTGATATCTGTCTTAAAATAAAGCAAAGATTACAAAATATGGGTAAGAAAGCTTCTTTACTCTTCTAATTCTAAGTTACTTGGATTACTCTTAACTATAAAATCCTTCACTCTAACAAGCCCTTATAACCAGCTCACTAGTTATGACTAATATATTAAACCCCTAGAGCAACCCTATTATTACTCTGCCCTGAAATCCACCTTTTCTGGAGGGTGTGAGCTAAGTAATATGCTCAAGTGGAGAACCGAAAATGCTGATAAGCTCTTCAGGTCCCTTCTTTTTTCAGAAAAAAAGCAAGAAAATCAAGTCACGGTATCTAGGAACTTATCTCTAACACTATCTGAAGATACAAGTAAAGTAGGAATTGGAGGCATTGGTTAGAAATTTCTTTTTACCACAATAGTTCAACCAACCAAACTTCTTAATCATTCCGGGTAATATTCATCCATATTGAACCTCTGTATTTTTCCCATCCAGCCACCAGATATGGTTAATTCCCAAATTGTATAGCTTGCTTGAAAAATAGGAACCTAAACTTAATTGACCCATGCTAGACTAACTGCAGTTAACATCAAAAGTTGAACATCATGAGTATAACCCAATTCTCACCCATCTCATTATACTTTACCATATCTTTTCTGAAGCCAACCTCACTAGAAATCAACTCCCACGACATCAGGTAACGCTACCAACATCTTCTCAGACTTGTGCAGCCCATGCTTAACGGTCAAGCTTTATTGCCAAACCTGAAGATCTACAACTGATGGTGTATCGAAGTTCCAACTGTCATAACATTGTGAACTCTAACTTGCTCTCTCCAGAATCACATTTAAACTCAAGTGCCTGGACTCATGTTCCCTATCTCTACTGGAAATTTGGCAGTCAAGACTTTGTTGGCTTTCCTTTTCCTTGTCTTCCTTACTCTTAGACGTCTTAGTTGTTTCTTCTACTTTTCTTTTCCAAATTTAGGGCTTTTCCAATGGTGGAAGCTACTTTTCTCACCAACACAACGTAGGAGGCCCAAGGTTACATCTCTTCAATCAATAAAGTTGGTTGAGAATTTCCTTCTTGATTTGCTTGGTTTTTTCGTCAGGTCTTTGTTCTTTTCGATTTTTTCAGTAAATTTTGATGAGATTTGTAATTTCTTTTTTTTCAAATTATAGCAAACATAGATGTATGTATAGGGTAAATGGGTCATGAATGATAATTTTTGATTTCTTTGATTGTTGTGTTGGGAAAGAGCCATTACTTGGCCCACCTTGGTACTTCTAATATGGGGCATTTAAGCTCCAACTTCTAGCCCATCACAAAATTGTTTTGACTCATCCATATGCCTCCACTCCCTTCAACCATCTTCCTGATGCTGCCCTGCCAGAGCCACTGTGATTTTCGGCTGAAAGTTCTTTCCCTTCTGGTTTGATCTACTCTTTTGTGATATTTCAGAGTTTGTGGCAAAGTTTGATTCTAAATCTCCTCGAGGGTCTTTTGATACATTCATAACACCACCGTTTGGTCTGTTTTGGAACCTGTTGCCATCAATTTTCTCTGTTCCAACATGGTTTTTCGGCTTCTGCCTTTTGGTTCTGGCTCTTTCTCCTCTTCTCCAGTGTTTTCTGACCTTTTCATGATTGTGCAATACTTTTCCTAAAGTTTAGCCATGCGGTTTTGATTTCCGAACTGGTGTTACTGACCTGACTTGGTTTGTGTTCTTTAGCTCCTCATCTGCTCATTCTTATCTCCTAAAAGCCGGATTATTATCATTTTGACCTGATCAATTTCTTTTCGCCATAGTTTTTCTTCAATCTCATGTGGATTCTTCTTATGCTTGGCTCTCCAATGGATTTTTCCAACTGCTACCCCTCTGTTATAGCCCTAGATTCCAATTTTTTTTGCCTCTAGTCTTGCTGTTCCTGAATTCTGCAGTCTCATTGATGTATTAACACTCATCATCTCCTCTAGTATGCTGTACGTGTCCAACAATTTTTCCCTGAATTTGGGATCCATTTCCAAGGATGAACATGCTCTAATACCAATTTTCTAGGAACCACATTTATATTTGTATTAGAATGAAGAAAAAAATGGTGAAGAAACAAGAGTTTTCCCCTCACAACATACTTATCTAACAACTAACTCACTCTAACAATCTTAATTTATATCACCTCCTCCCTATTTATACCGCCCTCACTCTAACAAACTTCTCTAACCATTTATTAGTTATGATTAATATAACACCTAAAGACGCCACTAATACAATCCCATCAATGCTTTAGCGTCCTCTTTGTATGAATTAAGATTTTCATGTACTTGATTCAATTTGAATAGGTTGTATACAAATTTTCCTTTGATTAGCTGCTACCATACAAATTAATGCCCCTCATTTATATTGATAGTCGAAGGAACGGATCCCGAAAGGAGAGATAGGTTGATTGACCTGCTTGATATAGATCTCCAGTGGCGAATGCATAAGGTATCTGATGGGCAACGTCGTCGGGTGCAAATCTGCATGGGCCTATTACATCCTTTCAAGGTATTGAATACAGATTTTAACATTTGATTTAAATCCTATTTTAGTCCTGGTAGGTTTGTTTCATTTTGGTTCTTAAACTTTCAAAATGTCATTTGGTTTCTTAACTTTTTTAAGATAATTATTTTGGTCCTTGCTATGTTATTTTATCATCTAATATTTGTTTATCCATTCATTTTCAAACTATGTGGTTTGAATACATGCTCTAGTTAACACATTATTACTTATACTTAAAGCCACGTTATGAATGTGTTAAGAGAAAAATAAAGGTAAGGATCAGAATATTCTTTTGAAGTTTAGGAACTATAATATATTTTTTTGAAGTTTAGGGACTACAATGGAACAAATTTGAAAATCAAGGACCCAAATGGAATGATGCTGAAAGTTTAGGGATTACAATAGCATTTGAACCTACAGATTTTTAGCCCACTGTGAATGGATTGGGTGGCCAGCAAGTTTACTCTGATTTTCACTTCCGTTCTTTTAACCAAATTCTTCACCAATTGAGTTTAAAGTTCTAGTCAAGCATTTACATGGCTCAGATTATAATTGTACATTTTACATTCTGATTTACATTTCACCTTCGTGGAAATATTGCAACAGATCGTTATCTGCTAACTTTCAATTAATGTTTTTGACTTGTCAGGTTCTTTTGCTAGATGAAGTCACAGTCGACCTTGATGTTGTTGCAAGGATGGACCTTCTGGACTTTCTAAAGGAAGAATGTGATCAGGTATTGAATCTTTTTTTTTTTTTTTTGATATGTAACTGAGAGAAGTATGTTACTTCAAAAAATAACCAAAGAACAGCCTAGGGCCGGGTAGAGGGAACCCCCAAAAAATACCGATGAAGGACCTTCTAATTGTTAGTAATCATCACACAAGAATTTTGTGTGGTTAGAGTACCCACGCTGAGGCACTATGCTGCACATTAAGACAAAAAGAGAACTTATATCCAAAGATCCTAAGATTTCTTTCTTTCCAAATATTCTGAAGGGCCTAAATAGTGCAATTCCAAAGGATCTTCCCCTTTTTTTAAAAAGGCTTTCTACATCATACTACAATTCAAACTAAAAGCAATTGGCTGACACATGCTAAATTATGCCACATTAATTTCGTGTTGAATGGCAATATCGTCCAGAATAGAAGATATAATCATGCTCTCTAGTAACCTTACAAATCCAGAATTTCATTCTAAGCACTAGGCTTAAAATTAACGATAGCATAACTAATCGCAATATTTTCATTGGAAGTTCTCAAATTGATGGTGTTTCATTAGCCTAGTTAAGGCATTAGTAACATTTCTATAGGTTGAAGATTCAAATCTCCACTTGCAAGGATGTAATGTTATATTCTAAAAAAGAAAATGACGGTGTCCTTATATTCAATGTCGATGTTGATAAAATTGTCAAACCCTTGAGATTATTTAATGATCACCCTTTTCATAATAAACTCTCCCTTCTCCCTGCATTACTTGCCCTTCTCCCTGCATTACTTGGCAGAATATTTTTATATAAGTTCTTTCAGGTTCGAAGCGTCCCCCCTCCGTAGTTTCATTCACCAATGAAATCTCTATATTACCCCTGAAATGTCTATAAGAGTAATTGAAGAACTGGTTGTTTTGTATACAGAGGAGAGCCACAATTGTTTATGCAACACACATATTTGATGGGCTGGAGACATGGGCCACTCATCTGGCATATATTCAAGATGGTGAGCTTAGAAAATCAGAAAAGTTATCTGAAGTTGAAGAGTTGAAGAACTCAGCCAATCTGCTCTCAGTGGTTGAGTCTTGGCTGCGAGCTGAAACCAAATCTGAGAAGAAGAAGAAGAACATCTCTCCTTCCGTTGCGTCTCCTTTCATGTCTTCCAGACATATGGCTTATTACCGTTAGCTTTGCTATAATTATCTTGCACTTAGAACTATAAAGAGGTTCATTATGATTGATTTAATTTAATGAAAGCTTAGAATAAAGAAGAAAATAGTTTAAATAATTAACTGGGTTGGTTTACAAATTTAAGATTTAGAATGATTTTTGTTCTCATTTCTTTTCATGATATAAAGTAAATGTAACCATTGTTTCTATCGAATCTTATGGAGTTCTATTGTTTGTAATACTGGTTTATTTGTAATAATCTTATGGATCATGTCTTCCAATTTGAAGGGAATAAGAACGAATGTTGTTGGTCTCACCCTAGATTGACAAATGTTAAGGGGTGGTGGTAATAATTTTAGGGAAGAACGGACCAAACATTTTCATAATAGTATAATATTCTCTGCCTTTGAGCAGAGATGTTATCTCACTTGTATACTCGTGATCTTTTTATTTAACCAATGTGAAACTTTGATCACATTCTCATGAGATAGGAGTTTTCTCTTCCAAAATAATTCATAATGATCGTATCAATTATTAAGATATTCTATCAATTTTTGATTGTTCGTGATCACTAAGCAAAAATATTTCAATAAAGATATTCTTGAATGATATTATCTGACTTTCAAAGTCATGTACGGTGGCAATACCAAACCAAATATGCCACCAAATACGAGTCGAAGTATCTGTTGAATGTACTCCAAAAAAAAGTATCTATTTAATGACTAATTGTTTTTGTTATTCAATCATTCAATAAACATGATTGAATTTAGTAAAATAGTATTCAATAATTTATTTGAAATGATTGAAAATATTTACTTATCAAAGGAATTCATCTCTGTTTTTAAATGTTAATATAATTTTATACTGTGTAATTTATCCCCAAAAAAATCATTGAAACATGCACGGCTTTTGTAAATGTAAAGTTGTACACAATGTCAGGTGAATCTTCTTATTGTATCACAAGAAAATTGACACAATATGAAAGAATAATATCTTTAATTAATATAGACATACCATTAATAGTTACTTTTACTTATTTTAAGATTAAATGATTATTTGTTAATTTAACTATCTTTTATTATTTTTTTTTATAATTTTATAGAAATATCTATTGAAATCAACATCTTATCGATATTTTTTATTTTAAGCACTATAAATTGAGATCTCGACATTTTCATCGATATTGACATTTAAAATTTTAGTTGTACGGATGGAAAATGAAAATATCTCATTCAGAGTTGTAGCAATGTTCTAATCGTAAGGGGCTTTTATATCCAAAGTTAGAAAGGAATCAATAGATCTATAAATAAATAAAAGATTATAATTAAAATTTAAAAAATGTCTATTACATTAGATATAATAATGTCTAAACTTTTAATTGAGGAGAAAGGAAAAATCTAGAACATAAACATAAACTAATATATTAACTTTTTTTTATCCCAATTCTATCTTTTTATAAATCAAACCGAACATAATTCAAATGTATAAAGGTACTTATTATCATCCTTAAGGTTGATCGTTTGATCTCCCACTTTGCAACAATTGAACTAAAAAAGAAAAATCGCATCCCTATAAATATTTCTAAAGCAATAAAAATGAATAAATATTATCTAACAATACTTTCTATAACTAGTGCATCTCTTATCGACTTTTCTTTCCCTTCTTCACTCTCACTACTCTTTTCCACACCTAAACTCTACCTAATCTCTCTTAAGTTTTAACCCACTTCTTTCATTTTTCTTTTAAATTTTTCATTATTTATATTTCAGTAATTTCTCAATTCTAAAAAAAAAACACAATTTTAACTTAATTAAAATTATTTTGTTACTAAACACTACAATAGAGAAATACTTTTGATTAAAAAAAACTCAACTCTTTAAAAGGAAGAGAATTTTTGCCCCCAAGTGATAGCTCAATAAATCCCATATTTACCCAATCATACACTCAAAAAGTGTTCTAATTTGGTACAAATTGAGCATCAAATATGTAGCAATGGAGGAAATGAACAAAACTCATTAGCTCTTTTGCCAAACTACTGTTTGGAAATTTGACTCTCACTGTTACTAAAATAAAGATACTAAAAATACCTTCTAACTCTTTCTATTTCATTTCTTGTATTTTCAACTTTAATTCATTCATTTTAGTAGCTACTTTAATTCATTCCTTTTAATTTATGCACTTTTAAAATGTTTATTGTTTATTTTGATCCTCATACTTTAAATATACTTTAAATATATTGAGTGTAGTATTTATCGTGCTGAAATTATAATAGGAAAAATGAGGTTAAAAATAAAATGAAAAGACCAAAATGGTCACCTATAGAGACCAAAACAAACATTTTTAAAATACAAAGACTAAAATGAACTAAAATTAAAAGTAAAATGACCAAAATAAATTCATTTTAAAAATACAAACCAAAACAAAAAGTATAGAAACAAAAATGGTATTTTAACCAATAAATAAATACTAATTCTACTAATAGAGATGGTAAAAAACCGACAGAAAAAAGTGTTATGCAGACAAACATATTACACATCAAAGTTTGTGCATATATATTAGAGAGTTGAAATATTATCCAGTACAGCAGAAATTAACAAGGCAGTTTGGTCTTTTTTTTTTTTTTTTTTCCTTTTTGAGTTTTTGGGTAAGTTTCTGAGTTCTTACTACTAATTTCATTCATACACTGCCACATCCATTGACGGTTAATACTCTAAACAGTTAACGAAGGATCAGTCACCTCTTAACATCTTTGATCTGATTCAGTGAAGATATGCAGCAGCTTGATACTGGTAAGCGTTGCCGAAGTAGTTTCCATGAGCTGCAGGAGACATGTTGTATGTGGCCGAGCCCAAGAGGGATGGGCAATGGTTGTCGGTGGGGCTCGGGTACATGTAGGGTCTGTTGTCATACATGTACTGTGGATACCTATCTGTCACTCTAGCATAGAAGTTCTTGTCGGTGACATTGTTGTTATTGACGAGCGGGGCATAACCAACGCCATTAGCACGGGGTCGCTTTGGTTGAGGTTTTGTTGCCTCAGTCACCCTTTTCTTGTCAGCCTTGGCTTTCTCGAGCTGGAGAACCCGTTTTTGAAGAGGGTCGACTGGATATTGGTGTTCGAGTTTGTGCTCTTCAATGCACTTGACTACGGCCTTGAGGGCGGTCAGCTCTCTGTCACTAACATCATTCTGAAATTCATACCAAACCAAGTCAAGGAAAAGGAGAAATATCAGAGGGAGAAATATATATTTTTTTTTATAGGAAACAAATTTCATTGATAGCATGTGAAATATACAACAATAGCGCACAAAAAGTCTAGAGGATCTAACTGCTGCATGTTTTGATCCCAAGTGCAAATGAGAAGAAAATTCTAAAGGGGAAATTGAATGCCTACATTATCATGAATATTGTTTTCTTTCTTTTCCTTCCTTTCTTTTATATCCATGATTAACCGGACCAGCCTGTATACATTTAATCTCATAAAACAATTGTTTGACTCTGCTGCATCATTTAATCTCATAAAACAATTGTTTGACTCTGCTGCATTTGGTTGGGGTATATTTTGTAGAACTCAAACAACTAGAAATATAAATAAAATAAAATAAAAAAGATTGAAACATAAAAAGATAAGACTATGATTATAGAAATTCGAAGTATTTGGATGCTCCCTCTTCATATCACTCAAGCCTAAACCGGACTAACAATTGCCTGCCTCCATCCATTTTCCCTCGCTCTATTTATAAGCCATTCTACCAACTTTCCTAACTAATTACTAATATATCCTTAATATCTTAATAATATTCTTAATTCTATCCTGATAGGATTCCTTTCAGATTTTCATAATACTATAACCATCACGGATTGGTTTACTGACCATTGGGGCTAATGAAAAACTAAAGCTGCTTAGAGGGAATGCAGTTGTTAGTGAGTATCATGAGTCTTATCGCCAAAACAATGTTCTGGAATTACTATTGGGACTAATAAAGCAATTTCGCAGGCTGATCATTCTGACCAAATATTAACCAAAAGTAGAAGGATTGTCAACTTCTCCTCTGTTTCTTAACTTTTATCATGTGTCGAGGTGATGCTTCTACTTCCTACATGGTTTGAAGCCATTGGTGTAATTCCTACTAAAAATAATCAATAGTTAAGATTATTTTATCATGGCACCAGCACCAGTAACCAATATGAGTTCCTAACAGTTAATTTTTTGATTTAGAAAAGTAACTAAACAAATCTCAATTAATATGGAAAAACCTGTGCAGTGGAGGATGCATTTCCAGATTTGACTGGTGAAGACACCTTCTTCGCCTCCTTTAGATAGGATTTCAGCAATGGCACTGGAGAGAACTGCTCTGTCAGTTCAAATGCAAAAGCCAAATTCACTGCGTCAATTTGCCTTCCACTGTTAACCAATACTTCGATGACACCTGTCGAAACACGAACAAATTAACAAGAGAATGACAGAAGAGAAAGTTGAGATAAATCGCATCCTACCCTAAAGCAGTCCTGTGGTCAAGAACACCATATTAGAAAAGAGTCAAGATCCAGATAAAAATAACTATAATAGTATCACAAGCATAGTAGCTTTTTCAACGTTTCGGCACTTATATTTTTCGAAATCTCTAGTAATTCCAGAATATGTCTGCGTTTTGAATGCTTGTGGTTATATAACTTCCAAAGAAGACAATTCAGGATAGAGGGGGGAAAAGGGGGTCTACCGAGCTGTAAAAACCCCGCCTCAGAAAAAATGAGGTAAAGTCATTTACTCATTGTGCAACGTGCTACCGTGCCCTAAGTTTAAGCAAAATTATGCAGAAAGAGGCATAGGAGCAGTGCTTATTTTGAAAACTGTTTCTAAAACAGTTTTAACGCATTTGTTTTCAGAACTATTTTTAAGAATGGTGATATAGACAAGTTAATGTTATTATATACGCTACACATTAGAATGACTATTTACAAATTCATGAAATAAGTTACCAGTCAGAATGCCCTTAAAGAAAATAAGAAGAAACAACTTTATCCAAACATAAATTTCACAACATTTGTGCTCTCAAAACAGATCATTGTTTTTAAAATAATATTCAAACAAGCCTAAGTCACTGCTCTATTATTCTTGGCACAATTGGATCTCAGATTGCTGTAACCTTGAGGATTATTCAGCAACAAATTCCTCGGGATTGGGGGGAGGGAGGAGCAAGTTTGAAGGGATATAACTACTGAAGATGGAAGCTTGCAAATATGGAAATATAGTAATTTCTTTCAACCAAATTAATCTTTGCAGGCTAAGAAGTACAGACACTTTATTTTAAGGTAATGTGTCCGTGTCGGACACTCTGACACTTATTGGACAATTGATAGGCTTATAGACGTGTCACATACTAATTGTAAAAAGTGAATATGGATTCAACACTTGTTAGTCACATATAGAACACTTGTTAAGCATAAGAAATAGACATAAATAGTAGTATGGGGCAAAATAATAAACTTTGAGAGAAAAATACATCAAACTCATTTATTTATTCATAAAAATGCACAAGTTTATTGACTTTAAATTTCCTTCCTAAAAAAATTTTATATTTTAATTGCCGTGTCCGTGTCCTAGATTTTTAATAACGTGTCGCCATGTCCGTGTCGTGTTCGTGTCTCATGTCCGTATCCATGCTTCTTAATTACAGGAGCTCCTTAAAGCATTAGCTTTTTTGTCTACTAAGAAAACAGAAATTTCATCAAAAGAAATGAAAGTATAAAAATTATGGTTGAAATGGGCAGCCACAAAGGAGGACGGTATCCACAGAAGATTAAACAGGCTACAGAAAACACAAACAAGAAAACAGCCTAAAGCAGGAACAAATGCCTACGCCAAAGAACCAAAGAACCAAATAATTTCCCTTTGGGCCAATATATTTTTTTCTAATATATATGTGCGTGTGTTCTCATGTTTGTTTAGTTTGATCATTTTCTCTTTTTCTGGAAAGTTGAAAATTATTATCTCATGATACCGTCAAATTTAAATTTTGCCTACAATGATGGAAAACTGAAAAAATAATTCTAAAATTCAGCACAGCTATGAACAAGAATAAAAAATTCTTGGATAAGAACTAAACATACGATGCTTTGTGGGCTGAATATGTGAAGGGATTTTTTCATTATTTTTACTTTCTACATATTCTTTTGTTATGGACATTACAAGTTCAAATGCCTTACATGTCCTAAATTAAAGTTTTAATAGCCACCGATCTAAAAATATCTTGATATCCTAACAACATTTGTTTTACTTTTTGAAAAGGTATCATACTTTCATGGAGAAAAAAAAATGAAAGAATACAAGGCATACAAAAAACAACCCCAAGCAAAGGGTGCCGAACTAAAATAAAAGGAGGCTCCAATCTAACGAATAACCTAACAGATAGTTACAAAAATGCTTAACCACCAAGACCTAGAGAGAAACACAAAACCTAACAAGGGACCAAACTTCCTCCCAAAATCTCTTCACCCCTCTAAAAATCATATTGTTTCTTGACATCCACAATCCTCATAAAATAGCACAAACACTGTTGAGCCATAGAAAAACTATCACAAAAGGGCAAAATAAGGAGCAACTCCTCCACCAGCAAACTACCATCTTTAGGCCAAGCCAAGCATAAACCAAACCCCTAAAAAAAATAGTTCCCAACCAAGTAAGCAAAATTACAGCCTCAAAGAAGGTTATCAACATACTCTGATGCACCCCTACAAATGATACAACACTGGAGCCCTATTAATAGAGTTTCCTAACAAACTGATCCAAAATATTAACTCTACCATGAAGAACCTGTCACACAAAATTTAACCTTCTTTGGAATTTAAATCTTCCACACCGAGGAGAAGACAGGAGAGACGGAAAAAGGAAAGGCAAGAAAACCCGTTAGAAGGACTAGGTCCCCACAAACAATTATCCCTTCTCCTCGAGAAAATAGAAAAATCCCCAAGCATAGACAAAAGAGCCAGAATACCTATTGCTTTCCTATCGGATAAAGGTTGACAGAAGCCATTAGCAAGGGAGAAAAATATCCCGAGAGAAGGTTGGACAGACGCCACCGACTAATTCCGCATCGAGGACAAATGATATAAACGCGAAAACAAGGAGTAGAGGGGTCTAACCTCCAACCACCAATCCTCCTAACGCTGCCCCACAAATCCCCTCCCATCCTTCATAAACTTTTCTAAGGTCTTACTAACTCAAAAAACAAGGAGAGATAGTCGGAATCCCACAAGATAGACTTGATAACTGTTAATCTACCCCTCTTGAAAAGAAGCTTCTCTTCCAAGAAAAGAAACGTTTTTTAACCTTTTCCACCACCAGATCCCAAAAAGAAGCACTCTTAGGATTATGCCTGAGAGGAGAACCCAAATAGGTATCCTAATCCCATATGTTATGATCAAGTGAGAATTGCATAGAATCAGCTAAAGTTCTTTTCTAGAAACATGAAATAATAAAGAGGACAACAAACATACAGTCCAATAAAAGGAGCCAAGCCAAGACTAACTATACAGAAAAGAGCACCAACCAGGAAGAATAAAGCCTAACAAATAATTTTAAAAATCTTTGTAGTGTTACGATGTCCAGTTATATTTTACTAACAAATACATTTTTCAGCTAAACATATCACTGGCCCCTAAAATTTATCCCATTTTCAATTTAGTCCAAACATTTTGTAATTATCAACTATGTATAATTTTTTTGGATTGGAGATGCTTTCAGTGGGTTGGCATCCCTTTTGTCAGGCTAGTTTTTCATATGTCCTTGTATTTCTTTCATTTCTCTCAATGAAAGTTCAGTTTCTTCTAAAACAATAATAATAACTTAGTCCTAGCATTTTGAAAGTTTCAAGTTTTCCCTTAAGGTGTCAATTATTTTCTATCGACTCAACTGAATAACAAAATTGAAATTGAAATTTTGAATTTTTTACACCCATCTTAACTAATCTCACGAGTCAGCTTACAAAAATTCTTATTTGAATTTTTTAATAATTAGGATAAATTATATAGTTATTAATTAATATTTAAAAATATCAGCTCCTAGAAAATAATATTATTGAATGTCGGGCTAGGTTCTTTGGGATTTTGTGGGGAATTTGGGGGGAATGAAACAATAGAATCTTTAGGGGAGTGGAAAGAGAGAGTGGAAGTTTGTTTGGGACCTCATAAGGTTTAATGTCCCTTTATGGGGTCTGGTTCGAATTTGTTCTGTAATTATCAGTTAGGTCATATTCTTTTGGATTGGAAGCCCTTTCTCTAGGTTGGCTTCCTTTTTCGGGGCTATGTTTTTGTATGCCCTTGTATTTCTATTTTGTTTTCATTTTTCTCTATGAAAAGTTTGGTTTCTTATAAAAAAAAAAATTATTGAATGTCAATATCACCATTTCTTTGTTCCATTTGGATGGCATTACTCATTAGAGACTAGATTGAAAAAATTTGACTCAACCTAAGCTAAGAACCCCTCTGAAGTTAATATGAAAATTCAGTACCCTAAGAAGATCAAAGTGTCTTTTGGGGGTCTTTCTCATAAAAGCTTGAACACACATGACAATTTACAAAAGAGACTCAGGAAGAGGTGCATCTCTCCATCAGTATGCTATCTTTGTCTCAGTAGTGCAGAGAGCATGGATCATCTGTTTTTGCATTGCCCTTTTGCTACTGACATGTGGATATTCTTGATGAAAGTTTTAGGTCTTACGTTATCATTTTTTGGTGGAGGATTGCCTCCTAGAAGCTCTTCAGGGGTGGTCTTTGAAAGGGAAAGTGAAAATCCCTTTGGAGTTGTGCTGTTAGATCTATCGTTTGGTGCTTATGGAAGAAACATAATCAACGAGCTTTCAACAATGAAGCTCATTCTTTCGGTTCTTTAGATTTTTTTTCATGGCCTCTTGGTGCCTCAACCATAAGAAATTTTTTTGTAACTATGGTATAGATATGCTCATCTTTGACTGGAAAGCTATAATACATTAATGTTTTGGGAGGGGCCTTTCACAACCCTGGCCTTGAGGTTGTTCTCTTTCCTTTTTTTCAATATATTTCATCTCTTATTTTATAAAATTACAAAAATAAAATAAAATAATTGATTCACTAAAAAAGTGTTTGAAGCCTATTTCAGTCCATAAACTTCCAGACTTAATATATTTTACTTCCTAAACTTTCTATTTTACTTCCTAAACTTTCAAATATTTTGTTTTTATCCCTCAACCTTATGTTTATTCCGGTCCCTAAATTTTCAAACATTTTGTTATAGTTCCTAAACTTTGCATAAACAATTATTTTAATCCCCACTATTACTTTTCAGTATCTAACATACATCTGAACATATTTAGAAATCCCACAGATGACTAACTCTACACAAGGCTTCAGATACTTGTCAGTTGTCCATAGACACCTACCCTAAAAAACTTTAATTAAAAACGAAGGGAAACGACAAAAATGGTTTTTGTTCGAAGTTTAAAGACAAATACATTTTTGAAATCTTAGGACCAAAATGGGAAAACAGGATCAAAAAAGGATTTAAACCCTAAAAATAGCTGACTTAAAAGTGAACAGAACACCCAATCTGTTCATTTAAGAAAATTGATCTCATGGGCATAATTATAGTAGGTCAAGACATGGTTTAAGAATGAAAGACAGACCTGGCATTTTGTCTGATAACCCTAGAGATCGACATAAATCAGCTGCTTGGCGGCGACGGGAGACCATTGGTACAAGCCTGGATAACTCTACATCATTAAAATCAGATGCAATGCCAAAAGTATCCAGAAGCTGCAAAAAGGCATGAGCCTCCAATGAGTTGCCATTACTAGCATCCACATCAAGAGCATCCAACTTCGGTTTCCATTCTCCAGCAATTTTCTTTGCTTGCACCTTAACTCCAGCTGAAATCACTTCAGAAACAGAGACAACATCCAGAGTTTTCAGCAAAATGCTTAAACATTCCATCAACATGATGCAGGTTCGACGTGAACCCAGTAGATCTGAGTTCTTCTTTCCATCCAAGTTTGCAACTTCTCCACTGTAAAAGTCTTCCAAGGAGTCCAAGACCATACAGGCTGGGTTTGCTGCAGCTTTCAGTGCAAATGGAATCTCCTCCCTTATTGCAGCAAGGTTCTTCCGGTTGTCTGATATAAATTTGTGCAGCCCTGCTGAGTCCATCTCTTCACATAATTGTATTAATTGAGGATAAGACTTGACCCCAAAGTGTCCATCATCATGAGTCTCTTTCAAATCTTCTGAGTTATTTTCACTAGTCAAAGAATCAGGTGGTTTATCTACCACATTTAGTTCCCCACTTTGATAGTCATCAGGGCAAGCAGGCATTTCTGATGACACCTTCCTATGCTTTTCTCGTGCATTGGCAACGGCAAATGCTGCAGCATCTCTTTTATTTTGAAGATTCTCCAGTGAGGCCTGCTCTTTAGCCAAAATAGCAGCTTCCCGCTTCTCTAACATTTGACGGGCCTCTGTTGTTTTGGATTCATATTCTTTTTCTTGGTCTTCTAACTCATGAAAACGCCTCTTCAAGGATTTCTCTAGCCCATGGAAATGTTCTTCAAGTTCTTTCCATTTCAAATTAAGTGTCAGTGCTTTGTGACTTTCAAGCTCAGCAAATGCTTTCTGAAGCTGTTGTATCTTAGAGGTTGTAGAGTCAATTAGCGTTTCAACTGAATGTGCGACATCCATGGCAAAGGAGCTGAAGGTGATAGGAAGAGAGAGAAGATGTCATAAACTGTCAATTTGAATTTATTAATCCAATTAGACGTATACCAAAAAAATAAAATGAAAAAAATCCATACTACAACTTGCATTAAACTGTCACAAATAATCCCACACTTTGGAACCAAAGGGGAAAAGCACAAAAGATGGTTAATATCCTCTACATCACACTAATATATGGCATGTACAGACCTACAAGCCAAGAAAAAAGTTGAATCTTCTTCGTGATTTTCAACTTCCACATTTTAGAGAGAAAAAAAAGCATGTTGAAGAAGGAAAAGGAGATAAAATCAATCAAACAAATAAAGACTAACAAGTGAAGACAGCAATTTAAATCACAAGCAAAAGTTGATAAGCTCTGGAGAGAAATAGACAGTTTGGATTAAGGAAAGAATGGAAGCTAACTTGTCGATCTTTTGAATAAGGGCTCTACGAAAATAAAAATAAAAAAGGGGACTCTCCCCTTGATCAAGAAAATATATACAAGAGGGCTACAGGATTTTTTTTTTTTATAAGAAATGAAACTTTCATTATCAAAGACGAGGAGTACAAAAAAGGAGATGAGTTATCCCTGCACACCAAAAGGCTACAAAAAGGAATGAAAAAGCTACAGAAGAAAAAAGCGAAAACTGTTGCCGAAGTGTTCTATACTAAAGCTAATGATCCAACCAAAAACGAACTCTACATCCAACCTCCACCAAAAAAATGTAACAACATGCAAGAAACTAAGTGAAAATGAAGAAATCATCTCCAAGAGTTTGCCAAAAGCAAGCATAGCTTAGCGATAATTGGTATATATCTCTAACCAAGAGGTCATGAGTTTGAATCCCCACTCCCACATGTTGTACTAAAAAAAACAATAATAACAAAAAAATCATCTCCAAGGGTTTTTAAAGGGCTGATCGATTCCTGGATGGACCATGCTAAATGTAGAATCCATCTCATGTGCAAAACCGTTGTTTATCTTTTTTTTAATAAGAAAAACCCTCAATTATCTAACAATGTAGAACAACCCAATGTCCCCTAAACAACACAAAACATCCACACCGAAGACAGCACAACCTCCTCACAATTAAGGAAAAACAATGAACACCAGACCAATTCAGAGATTACAAAAATCTAGGAGAGGGTGAAAATGACCAGATCAAGAGCCTTAAACGTGGAAATAAAAAATAAGTTATGCATTCTATTCTCTCTTCTCAAGAGAGTAACCATCACATCTCTACAAATGACCATGTTAAATCCAACCTGAACATGTCTTGGAACTATAGATAAATTGGAGTTACAAAGTTAATTATGGTCAATAGGAACTATTGTCATTTTTTGGAAGGAAACAAATATTTCATTGATAGTATGAAATATACAAAAGGCCACATGGGCAATTACAAGAAAGCCTTCCAGCTTGTAATAAGATTGTTAAGAGAGTAGCTATTAAAAGGTGAGTAGAAACATTTACACCATCCAAGAGTTAAGAGAGTAACTCTGTCAAAAAAGATCTCAAAGGGAAGAACTTTATCATTAAAGACCCTATTGTTTCTCTCCAACCAAAGACTCCATAAGAAAGCCCTTATAAATTGAACCCACAGTGTAGCCTTTTCCTTTTTAAAAGGGTGTCCAAACAGTAAGCAGTCAAGGAAAATGGCAGGGTGAATGTGCAGTGCAGTTTTCCATCCAAAAGCAGTGAGCATAATGTCCCAAAAACGAGCATCAAAAGAACAAGTAATGAAAATATGGCCCTGGTCTTCGGATGCCTCTATACAGAGATGGCAACAGTTTGGGGAGAGAACGATGTGGGGAAGTTTCCTTTGAATCCTGTGGTGTGTGTTTATCGCGCCATGACTGAGCTCCCAACAAAAAAACTTTACTTTCTTTGGACAGAGACCTTTCCAGATGCTATGGAACAGTGTTGGGACGGGTTGTGAGGGAGTGGTAGATAGCACTCTGTACATATATCTGGTGGAAAATGCTTTGGTTGCTTCGTGTGGCCATATCCATAGATCATCCTGGGTCGTAGGGGCAATCTCTGAAAGGGTTTGTGAAAGGCTTAACCACTCCATTCAACAATGACATTCAACAATGACAATGGTTTTATTGAAGTTAATAAGGAATAGAGATTGACCCTAAAATTAGCCTCATGGAGACAAACCCAAGTTAAAGGAAGCACTGCCAGCAAAAAACCATGCTAATATAAAGCAAGGCAAGTATATCTTCCCAAACTCTTGATATACGAACAGAAAAATAGGTAGAGGCTAAGGCAAACTCTTGATAGGCAGACTTCAAAATGCATCAAACAGCTTTGTTTGAGGAAGGAGAATGAGAAACATGATCAACTAAAGTCTGAGGCAAAGGCAAGAGGTGAAGTCATCTTAGTACTAAGAAGCAACCAAAAGGCAAGCCAGGGTTTAGGTGAAAGGTGCAACGATGGAGACTAATATTCCCATTCAGCCATTCCATAGAACGTTGTTAATAATCTCAAGGGTGGTTACTATTTTCTTTGGTAGGAATCTCAAGGGTGTTTGCTTTCTAGAATTTTCTCTCATTGAACTTGTCTTGTTTGGTTGTGTTTTAGTTGGTCTTTGAACATTTCTGGATAGTGTTACAATTTTTTCCACTCCAAAATTTTATTGGAATACCAAACTAATCTATTGAATTGTTTCTTACTGTCTAGTACTTTCACCCACCAGTGTGAGTACACTCGTGTATTTTTAGCCTATAGCAAATATCAAAATTTTACCCAGCTCTTCTATTTTCACATACACACAAGAGAAGGGGAAATGAAAGAAAGAAACAAGAAAACAACAACCGAACAAGCATACATAACATTGTTCCAGTTGGAGGCATTCGGATGAGTTTCTACATTCTAAGTTTCCAAGTTTTAGATTACTTATTAAAAACAATAGGATTAGTTCAATATTCATTTTAACAAGCTTCAAAAGGAGGTGGGTCCAAATGGAAAATGTAACACTTTGGATTGTGGGTAATGTTTCAAAAGAAAAAAATAAATGTTATGCGATGAAATATACAAAAATGACCAATTAACTTGAAGTAATAGCATGACCTGTATTTGTCAAAAGATTAAAAAGTAGAGGATTTATGAAGTTCCTTCATTACCTCTGTACGGGTCGGTTACCTTTTAATTTTGAATATTCTGCGCTTCATTGTTTAAAAGACTGTGCTGATAAAAGCATAGCTATCAGTTTGGCTTTATTTATGTGGGGTTTTTCATATCTTTGTGTTTTCATTTTATCTCCTCGTTTGTAATCAATGGAAGTTCTACTTGACAGTTGTCACTGATCAAAAGATGGTTATAGTGATCATAATAGATCAAAGGCTCTGCTGCTACATAAAACAATTGATAAATCCACTAAACTGCATGCAAAAACTGCCGCCTCCCGTATAGAAAGCGTTAAGCTTTTCATTACTCAAGATCAAAAAGAAACCCACACACTGGATAAATTGGCAAAACAGAGCCGAACTAAAAATCTTTCAGATCCTACATAGAAAAGAACTGAAATGCGCAGCAACCAGAAGAGATTCAAATGAGATAGTTTTCAGGAAATCAGACCAACACATTTGGATTGATTCTCACTTCTTGCTTTCCAGGAAGAACCACCAAACCACCCTTCCAAATTACTCCCTCTCAAGTCCCAACACACGACCAAAAACACATTTCCACCCAAAATCGAACCTAATTTGAGAAAACAACGCAAAAAGATCCTAAAACACCACCAAACAGAATACCCATCATCAAAAACACGGTAGCAGCTCAAATTAGAAAAAAGAAGTAACATCACAATCGAACCCTCGATGGTAAATACTTCCCAGTTCCCAGTTCCCACCAAAAACTCCAACAGTGAAGGAGGGCACAGTATTGGGCGCAAAGAACAGCTTCCAGAACAATTACCCACAAGCATAAAGCACAGAAATGGATCTGAATGAAAGAGAAAAAGCAGAAAAAAAGTTTACCCGATTGATGGAGTGAGAGATGGCACACGAATCACTGGGGAGACTGCAAATAAATGCTTGACCTAACAAACTGAGATGAAAATCAAACATCCAAACCAAAACCAAAACCAGAGAGAGAAGAGGAATAGAGGGAGAAAAATAGAGGAAAGAGGAAAGTAGATTAGGGACAATGAAAAGTATTTATTGCAGCCACAGCCAAGTGAGGTACAGTTTCTCGCCATTCTCTCTCTTAACTTTTTTGGGGCACTCCCGTTTTTTATATTTCCCATCCCCCCATGCCCCCACTTCTTTCTTCCTCACTCTTCCCTGTTTCTTTTGGGATAAAAGAATCTTATGTAATAAATTTTTCACTAACCCCTAAGTTCTTTTTTTAAGGTTAAACTATATATTTTGTTTGGTAATTTCTAGCTCTTGAATTTTTAAAAATAACAATTTAGTCTCTATAGTTTAAAATTCATTATGATTTAGTCTCCGTCATTAAATATTACATTAGATTTAATCGAACGTTGATGTGATTGCCAACTAGAATTGATATGTTCAAATTAAAGGGCTATCAGGCAAGTTTGTCCAATTTTAAATTTTAAATTTTATCCTTAATTTTTTAAGGTTAAAAAACATATTTGGTCTGCCAAAGCGAGTATAGCTCAGCGATAATTCATAGTTCCAACCAAGAGGTTGTGAGTTTGATCTCCTACCTCACATGTTGTACTAAAAAAACATATTTGGTCCATGTATTTTCATTGAAGTGATGATTTAGTCTTTTGTAACGATTTAGTCTCTCTACTCATTAGTAATAATTTAGTCTCTAAACTTTACTAGGTAAAGATTAAGTTTTTATAATTTAAAGTTTGTAACGATTTAATCTCCGTCGTGAGATTTTTTTTTTTTATTAAGTTTCTTATATATGTAGATGGATAAACCTATAAGGGACTAGATGTGTTTATAAATTACAAATAATAAATCATTATATGATTAAAAAAACTGACACTTAATCTTTGTTTATGCAAAAATTTGATCGAGATATAACCTGGTCCAGGTATGACCGTTGGAAGAGCTTGACCTGCTCCAGGTATAACTATTGGGAGAGCTTGGGTGTCCTTGAGAAGGAATGACCAACTCAGGAGGTCAAGGTATAGGCTGACTGGAATGAACTGAAGTGTCAGGAACGAGCTGGAAGGTCACTTGGCGAGGAAAAACCTGCACAAGGGAACAAACTCTCCGATGCGCAAGTCAATTTTGTGTCCGACCTTAGTATGGAGGTCAAGCTAGAATATCATACCTGACTAAAGAGTGAAGTGTCATATTTATAGGTTGAGGTACTCGACAAGAAATCCGACCAGAGGTTAAACATGTTGGGACCAAGGTCGGCCTGTCTGGAGCAACTATTCCAGTTCATACTCTTGTCATCTGGAATTCGGCGAAGTATGGAAGGTCGTTCCTCCCTTGAATGATCTTCAGAGAAGACCTTCAGGGAAAGGTCTCAGGTCGGCCATCAGGGAAGACCTTCAAAGTTAGACCTTTCTTTGTCCTCTACATGATAGTACAATTTTCACCCCAAACAATTCCTAACTGGTGTAAGAACCATATAATCCCTCCAGTTGAATTCAAGAACTTCAATTGTGTCCTTAACAGAGTGAGCTCTATTGGGAAGTGGATTCCACCTCCCTAACCAGAAACCCCAAATAATCAATAAAATCAATAGTTTCTTGACTGGTATATGGACTACCAGCATTCTTGTGTCAACGGATTATAGCTATCAAGGAAGGCCTTAGGTCGGCCATTAGGAAAGGCCATGGTGAGGTCGGCCCTTAGGAGAGCTCTTCAAGTTAGCCACCTCAGGTCGACTACCCGGGAAGACATAAGGTTGGCCACTTCAGGTCGATCACCAGGGAAGATCTTCAAAGTTATACCTTTCTCTATCCTCTACATGGCAGTACGATTTTCACCCCCAAACATTGGCCCTCTTTCTAGCTAGTCTGAGTTCGACCTGGCAGAGAAGTTTTCATGGGTTCGAAAATCAGCCTAAGCGGTGACTTACATCTTTCGAGCTCGGCATAAGCTAGTTGCTTAGAGTATGAGGTAAGAGCTTGTAGAAGCTTGGCCTAAGCTAGGCGCTTAGGAGTTTGAGGTAAGAGCCGAGAAACTCGGCCTAAGCTGGGTGCTTAGTGTTGTGGGCATGCTTGTCCAGGGTGTGTTACCCATGGCCGCATGTCCAAACCATCCTCACCACTCGCTTTTTTTTCATGTCTTTAACGCTTCCTAGTGTAATTTTCTTGTATCAGGTTTTTGGGGTTGTAGGTGGAATTTGGCTGAGCGGCTTTGGAACTAGGTGTGTATTAGTAAGATATGTAAGCACGCCAAATTTCAAGTCAATCGGAGTTCACACGGGCCCTGTAGGCCACCGAGTGACTCCTTGCCACTTAGGACGTCTACACCTGCCACACCAAAAATGCCTTATAATGTACCTTAAGGGGGACCAAGTAGTCATCAAACCTCCCCCCCGACCAAGTGTTGTATACTTTCTTGCAATCAAAGCTTTCTTACATCCAATGTCTACAATGCTTGTTTTAAAGATGTTTTCAACTGTTTTTCTCTCTCACGTTTTCTAAAACCAATTTTCTCGTAAAACGTGAGCAGAGGCTAGACCCACGACAAAGATTGCCCGCAATTTACAGTTTTTCTCGGTTGACTTGCTCGTTTGAGCTAGAGCAAGTGCCGCACAATCGCTCGAGCTGCTTTGAAAAAGTGCGATTGTGACACTTAGAACTTGGAGGTAAGAGCTGAGAAGCTCGACCTAAGCTGGGCGCTTAGGAGTAGGAGTAAGAGCTGAGAATCTTAGCCTAAGTTGGATGATTAGGAGTTTGAAGTAAGAGCTCAGAAGCTCGGCCTGAGCTGGGGGCTTAAAACTTGGAGGTAAGAGCTGAGAAGCTCGGCCTAAATTGGGCACTTAGGAGTAGGAGTAAGAGTTGAGAAGCTCGGCCTAAGCTGGCCGCTTAGAACTTGGAGGTAAGAGCTGAGAAGCCTAAGCTGGCCACTTAGGACTTGAAGGTAAGAGCTGAGAGGCTCGACCTAAGCTGGATGCTTAGGAGTTTGAGGTAAGAGCTTGGAGGAACTCGGCCTAAGCTAGGCGCTTAGGAGTTTGACATGCGTACTTTGTATTTGGTGGCCTACATTGGAATGTAGGTCGACAGCACCTAAGTTGGGTCTGTCATACTCGCTCAAATATGATCAGACGATGGAAGTTCTTCCTCTAGATGAGGATGAGCTACTTGATCGAAGCTCTTCTTCTAACCGGGGATGAGCTAATATAGAAGCTCTTCCTCTAAGTTGGGATGAGCTATCTGATGTCAGCTCTTACTCTATAGAAGGATGAGTTGTCTAGTCGAAGCTTTTCCTCTAGCCAGGATCGAACTGATATGGGAGTTCTTCCTCTAACGACGGTTGAGTTGATATGGAAGTCCTTCCTCTTGTGTAGGGATGAGTTGAGATGGAAGCTCTTCCATTATGGGGATGAGTTATTTGATGTTAGCTCTTACTCTAATTGGGGATGAGCTATTTGATATCAACTCTTACTCTAACCAGGGATGAGCTGTTTGATCGAAGCTCTTGCTCTAACTGGGGTCGAGCTGATATGAAAGTTTTTCCTCTTATGTAGGTGTTGTCTACAGATTATGTTACCAATTCTTACATGTGCAAGTATAAACAATCGTCGCAGCAAGTAATAAAAAGTTTGAATCCATAGAGACTAAGTGCCCAAACACTCAATATTTACCCAAGAAATCGGTGTACTCAACTAAATAATTTTTTCTTTTGAATAAATGCTAAAATAAACAATAATGCAGACGCTTCAATTATATTCTTAAACACACGTAAATTTTCGCTAGAGCTAACAAACATAAACAATCAACGAGTGACTTCTTATGAAAATAAGGGCGTAAGGGGGAGAGAACAGCGACTCCTTTCTGGACTACTCTAATGATGTTGCAGCATTAATGGAGTGAATGTAGTGGTCAAACAGGCAAGATGTTTTTCCAAACACCCCAGATTTTCTACCATTAGAGTTCTTAGACAAACTATAACAACATATATGAACAATTTTTAACCAAGCTAGGTGGTGTTTATCCCTAAGTTACCACACTCTAAACTCAAATAGACTTTAGCTCGAGATGAAGTTTTTCGCTCCCTAATACATTTTTCCAAAGGTTATTAAGAAGATATTTCAATATGGTGATCAAGCACATTGAAAATAGAGTAATACAACAACTTCAAATCAAAACACACTATCATTAATGCAAAACAACAAAGTTGCAACCCTTGAAATGAGTTCACAACATCTCCCCCTTACACAAGATGTTTAGCTAGACAATGCCATAAGGGGATAAAAAATATAAGAATAAAAATAATACAAAGAGCTTAAAAGATGAAGAGAGAGAGAGCTGAAGATCAGCTTCCAACAAGAGTTCTCGGCTTCTTTCTTAGCTGCAGTTGTCTGGTCTTCTTCTCCTCTTGACTTTCTCGAACGGTTTGAGAGGTTTTCTTGAAGTGAGGGTTGAGTGATTTCAAAAATGAAATGAAAATGTCTTATGTGTGTGGAGGCTTCTCTTCTTGTTGTCATTTATACCTCCCTCCGATTTTAAGGCAACAAAACACACCCTAGGGGCCCAGCTCTTACTTCCACGTAAAACTTCCAGTTATTATGGTAAATTTTGTTGAGAAGTCTTTTTATTGCCCACTTGCTGATTTTGTCTCTTTTTGGACCCGATGTTGTAGCATCATTAAAGCTGCAGCAAAATATTCAAAATTAGATCATTTATATAAATGTTAGCATTATATAGGAGAACCTTTGATTTAATTGCTAATTTAGGCATAACTCAACAAATAAGGGGACTAGATGAAGCAATTTTTAGCTATCTTATGCGAATTTTAGACACAAATAACTCTCTTTAGGAGAGTTATCAGTAGGGATGAACTGAGATGGAAGCTCTTACTCTATGTTGGGATAAGCTATATGATCTCAGCTCTTACTCTAACAGAGGATGAGCTGCTTGATCGAAGCTCTTCCTTTAACCGGAGTCGAGCTGATATGAAAGCTCTTCCTCTATGTGGGGATGAGCTATTTGATGGAAGCTCTTCCTCTATGA